ACCACAGAATTTGAGCTAAATACAGATTTACTGTTCTAAGTCAACTTTTTCAGAACAACTTGTTACTTAGCAATAGCCAACTATTACAAAAGCTCACTACCACCCTCATTCTTTGGATCTTTCCCCAAATTTCGCTTATTATTATTAGTGGTGCTAGCAACACTGAATATAGGCTAGAATATAGGCCATGCAACTAATTTGATTCTCAGAACATCTAGGAAATGATTCTTATTTTAGACAAAAAGAATAGAAAATACAATGTCAGTGTCTTTGACTTTTAATGACTTTTGAATAAAAATCAGAGAGACTGACCAAACTTTAATAGTGGAAAATTTAGTACACCAACTGCTACAGTTAGGACCATCAGTATACTTGTATAGTTTATCGGGAGATTTAACAAAGGTGTGAAACATTTTGATGTGTAAATTTATTCACTTAAATGTAAGATGGAGTTCAGTGAGTACATTATATTTGCATGCATATAATAAGTGAACTCTCTAGTTAAAAGGGGAAAAGGCCTGTTTCTACCCCTAGTGCTGATCATGTCATATTTCATTTTGCCATTTTGGTTGTAGTATAGAGCTTATAAGGCATTTTGATGAAGATTATCCCAGCTGATATTCTCAACCTCCTGTGAAAGACAAGCAGCATTAAATCTATTTTGTTCAGACATACAGACTGAGGCTCAGGGAGCCTGACAACTCTAAATTGAATTCTTTTTCCATATCACCTCCACGCTGCCCTTTCGTTTAAAACTAAGAGTTAAAAGTTTTGTTTATAACTTTTATGTAAACTTTCATTCCTCCAAATCTTGTTTGGGGAGGGTATGATGGGACAGAAGCTGCATTTCACACATGAAAGTCAAAGGCCCAGGAAATAGTTAGTATTGCTTTGTATGCATTTCCTTGCTCACCACTGAAGAATGCCAGTTTTTAAAAGCAGGCAGAAGAAATTAAGAAGTATTTCCCTAAGAAGGATGGATCCAGAGTCTGCTGGGGAGTGAGTGAAATGCAGCACAGAGCTCTACAGCAGTATTTGGGGGCAGAAGTAATGTGGATCTCACAAGAAGCTATTATCATCAATAGGGCTTCCCCAGAAGCAGATCCTGAGACAAGAATTCGGGGGCAAGTAGTTTATTTGAGAAGAGATTTCAGGAAATACGAATAGTGACAGTGGGGAAGTGACAGAGAAGTGTGAGAAGATGACCAGTAACGATGCTGATAATTATCTGTTACGTTATCAGGTAACTGGATATGGATTCTGCTGGAGAACTCTGAGCAGCTATGTAAAGCACACCTCTCAGAGTTATTCAAACTGGGCCCAGGAAGCTGGGAAAACCACTCATATATTGCCATTCTCCCTTGGTTGAGGACCGCTTTCAAGGGCATTAACATTTCACCACACTGTCATTCCCTGTTCTGCAAAGGCTCTTCATGGAAAATAGCCTCTTGTGATAGCAGCAATACTCCCAGGATGTGGGCAGGGCCCTAGCAGCATCTTCTAAATTCATGGACCAAATTTTTCTGGATTGCTTGAGGAAAGACGATTATGAACTCAAGATAGAAACCACCTGAACAGAATGGTCTTGAGACTATACTGAGGCCAGAAGAGAGAGGGGCTACAGATGGTGGTTAGGGAACACAGCTGGTGGCACCTGCCTGGGTATAGCACTGTAGAACAGTTGGACACCTTGGCATGCTGGCTGGCATAGCTGTACTTCAGTAACTTAATGGTTCACTTTTCCTTACTTTCCTTGCTCCCAAACATCTAGAATACTTCCTACTCGTCTACAATTTTATTTGCTATGTATCCCTAGCATCCCTTTTTCCCTCAGAATTTGCCTTCTTGCTCATGGTCCCAAGGATTTTGCAAAGTTTTTTTTTTCCTTTTCTGGGCAGTGTGGAGACTAGTATTGAGTGAGTTGCAGTGATGGTACTCTAATATCCCTGAGAAGACATAGGCAGATTTTATGATTCATCACTCCTGGAAATGCTTTTCAATGGGCTCACTCTGGACATGTTTTCTTATTCAGGTATTTCAAGTCTTTCAAGTGGATCTACTGAAATACTTCACTGAGGGGAACAGTAGGTGAAACATCAGGAGAGGTCTGCTGTGCCATGTGGCTCAGCTCCCTGACTAGGGATCAAACTCAGGCAATAGTGGCTGGAGATAGCTTGATAGGGCTGAGAATAACACCTGTGCCACCAGGAAGAACCCCCCAACCATTCTATTTTAAAATAGTATCCTCTCTCCCACCTTCTACACTTTTTCTTTACCTTTTTTACTGTTTTGTATTTTTCTGTGACAAGTTTCTATTTTATTGGTTTGTTTATCTATCTCCAGCTTTACTGTGAAGTTAATGAATACAGGACTTTTCGCTCTCTGTCCCCCACTGCTGTATTTCCAATACTCAAAACAAGGCTGAACATAGATGCTCAATAAATACTGCATGAAGGAATGAATGAATGGATGGATGAATGAAAGATTGTCTTACCATGACTTTCTGTTAAGAAGTGCATTACATTTGTCTTTGCTGCTATTTGTTAATCCACATGTCTTCTGGGGTTTCCTGGTTGGCTGAATTGAGAGAGGAACAATCCTAGATTTATCTCCCAGGCCTCTCTATAGCTTCAGAGTCACACATACCTGTTTTGAATCATGCCTGTAATTATTTATTAACTGAAAATTGTGTCCAAAATAAATCATTAATTTCATTTTTCTCAAAATGGGGATAATAGTGCCAATCTTGCAAGTGAAGAGGGTTCAATGAGGTGACAGAAATCAGACACTTAACACAGCACCTGATAGGTACTTACTAGATAACCATAAAGTAGGACTTTTCTTTCCTTTCTCTTCTTTTCCAGTTCAATTATCAATCTGCTAACAAGTCAGTGATAGCAAACTTGGGAAGCTGGTTAAAGCAGCTGCAGGGGGAAAGAAGTGGAAGAGAGGTACCTGAAACTGGAAGTAGAGAGTCAGACAAGAGGAAAGTCTTCTGCTTTCTAGGAGCTGGACCACCCTCACCTTCTGGTTTTTAGCAGAAGGACATTCTCGCCAGTGCCACATAGGAAAGGGTAGAGGATTTAGCCTTTGCAGAGTTCTGTCTTGCCAACTGTTACATTTCTAATGTACTTCCTGAGTTGGCGCCTTACCCAGAG